CCTGCCGTTTTTATGTTCACTGTGGCTACAGAGTAAGTGGCCTCAAGGGGGACCGATGTCAGCACCGTCCTGCAGGCCCCTGTATCACACAAGCATTCATACGTCTTTCCATTTATGGATAATCGTCTACTAGGCAGCTCGCACCATTGCTTTGAAATTAATAGCTGCTGAACAGCCAATAGATCTACTTCTTCTTCTTCCTTTGTCTGGACTGTTTTAATTCTATAACAGCTCGGGGTGACTGGGGAGTGCCCTTCCTCTATTTCAGTATCTGATTCGGGTTCCCCTATCTCTGGCAGTCATTGGGGTGGCTCACCAGACATAAGCCTCCGGTCCTGGATATTTGCGGGATCTTTATTCTGCCTCTGTCTGCAGTCTCTGGCCATGTGGCCTAGTTTCCCACAATTCCAGCAGTCTATGGTTCCAGGTTGACCTCTTCCCAATCCCCCTTTACCTCTTCCTCTGTTTCTACCCCTGAAACCTCCTCTACCCCTTCCTTGGCTCTGCGTATAGGCCACTAATTGATCGCTTTGACCTAAAAAAACAGTTTCTGGTTTTATCTTTTGGGCTTTTTGAGCGTGTTGTGCATATTCTATTGCTTGTTGCACAGTTCCTGTATTCTGGTGCACCCAGTGTTTATCAATGTATCGCTTTAATTCTGGTCGCAACCCAGTTAGGAAGGCTCTTTTTAATTGTTGCTGATATACCCCGTTCTCATCTTCCGCATGAGGAATTCCTGAGTTCGTCCTGAACATAGGCCGTAATCTGTCCAGGAAATCCTCTGGCTCCTCTCCTTCTTTCTGTTTACACTGTGCTATTTTCCCATAGTCAGCTCGTCTTGTGAATGTGGCCCCTAACCTTACTCTCAACTGGTTTAGAGCCTGCTGTAAATCTGGGGAGTCATGTGCTAGGGGCTGGTTTCCTGCTCCGTGACCTGTAAAGTCGCCAGCTACCCGTCCCCATTTGTGATTTAGGACCTGTCTAAAACAGCGGAATAATTCTCTCCCATTAAGGTGAAAGCTGGCCTGTAGTTCCGTCATAGCTGTCCAGAACTCAGGCACACCGTCCTCTACGGCAGGGATGCCTTTCAGGGCGGCTGCTCTATCTTCTGCTGTCCATGGGCGGTAAACTAATATGGTGGCTGGTGGGGCTATGCCATCATCATCCAGGGCTATTCTTGGATTAGCCACTTCCACCATCGGGGCGAGGAACTCATCT